AGAATGAAACAAACTTCAGCCAAGGAAACTACTCCATATACTTTGTTTTATATCTTTACGAATATACAATAATTTAGAAAATTAATTGTTACATGTAATTATGTAAAATGTAATCACATTCTATACTTGACACGTGTGTATATTATTTTCCATTCTTTATTCTTTATTATTCGCTTACACCTAATTATAGTGCAGTATAAATCAGTAAGTAAATTCTGTCATGTTCCCTTCCTAAGAATTCTTTAATAGTATTTCAAGAGTCTTATACTGCAGTGTTGTTAACAAATATCTAGGCATTGCTCAGATGAATGTAATAAATACTTGTACACACAATTGTTAATACTAATATGCTGATGATACTTATAACTAAAAATCTAGAAAATATTATCCAGTATTGAAAGCTTATAATATATTGTAAACCCTCGAATGATGCGACGACGTGGTGAAGAATTACAAATGCATGTGTATATTCATTTGATTACAATGTGGTTTTAAGTCTTTTAACAACACTGCTTTTGTGGCACAGGTACCCATAACTTAAAAGAAAAATACAAATAAGTTATCACAAATTTACTGTAAACGAAACGTCGCTTTTCCATCTATACATGGCTCTTATACGTGTAATAATATGTATATATGTACAATTATCGGTTCTGTTTTGTGTAGCAATATTAGATCTCAATAATCAATACGAACTATATCATGTTCATGATGGTGTTACATCAAAATAACTTGAGACAGTATTGTATTATGTAAAGCAATATGTTAGAAGCATAAGGATCTCAAAATGTATTTATTCGAACTACGTATGTAAAATCTAAAATTGAATTACTATTCGCTTTGCTACACACGCATCCTTGTTAGTATGCTGTAATTATAATAACAAGCGTAAACTGTTACGTTCTACGTGCCTATCTAAGCACTTGGTGGCTTAATACTGGTCTATTGAGAAGTTATAACAGTTCACGGTTGTGAATTATTTTTACAAGTAACTTTCACTGTTTTTAATTACGTTACCTCTACTTATCCTATCGACAATATTCATAGTTTCTATGTTAAAATCTGTACTTCGATACTTAGAAAGAAAAAGACATTTAAATCATAATCTCTTCTGTCTATTGTATGAATTACATCTAATTCCCTGATTATAAAAACAAAATATTGCATTATTCATATATAAATTATAATAAAATATTTTACTCACAGTCAGTTGAGAACAGAATATAATTTTTTTAGAGTACAAAAGAAAAAGATAAATATGATTTGAACACTTACAAGGCTATACACTGTCTTAACAAAGCAAGTTAATTAACATAATGTAAGCAATGTATTGTGCCTTTAACAGTTTCTTCACGAAATGAGCAAACAATTCTTTAAATCATGTGTAATGTTTCTTCGATTTAATGTTCAGATCACATCTTTCGCTATTATGATAAACTACAAAATACTTACATGTTCCGCGCTTCACAGAAGTGTCTAATTTATAATTGCTACGCAGTAATGTAAGCAAATCTCTTTCTCTGCTAGATTGAAATCTTTCAAAATTGCATAATTGTTCTAATCGATCGGCGAAATACCATTTTTAATAATTCATTCGCTATATAGTTATTAAAAAAAACTTATATTAATTATACAGTGTTCTTTATACGACAAATCATGATAATAAAGCAGTCTTACAAAAATTGATGCACTAATCACGCACATCTTTGTCCAAAGGCTTTCCTAGTAAATGAAATTTTGTCCTTTAAACAGGAACATCGAGAGTATACTCTTATGAAATCTAGATAAACTAATAGGGAATAATACTTAATTATATATTCCTTATTTCAATAACTTGGTGGTTCAAATGTCCAAGGAATGAAGACTTGTAGTATTTCAAGAAGATCATTGCATTCGCATCTACGCGCATTTTCTCTTCTTGTTGAGATGCATATGTTTGAAGGAATCCTTCTCCTCGTCTCCTGATAAATTTAGAAGTTGATTAAAGCAACAGTCATCAATCGAAACATCACGCTGATTGAAAATCTACGTGTGATACGGCAAGTTAAAGCATCTTACGTTTTGATTTCGCTACTCGGGAACGGGTTAACCGAGTAGAATTTCTCGATTCCGGAAGAGTTGTCTGGGAAGTCTTCTTTTTCAATGGAACTACTTGTTCTACAGCTGGCGTTACCCATTTTGTCTTAACATCGCTGTGTGTACAAAATCGTATTTCATATATTTCATTCTTATTATCTCAAAGTACAAAAAATTCCATCAACGTATACTTACTCTGTTGATTTGGATAATGTCTTATGTCTAAATGCTTGTTTCTCTTTCATCCTTTGAATCACGTTCAGCATAGCGTATGTAGGCAGGGATGGAGGTGGTGGAGACGGAGTTGGTGCGAGTGACGAGGGCCGAGACTGTACATTAACTTTCGCGAGTTTATCCGGATGAACCGCTAATACTGCTTCCCAACAAAATTCTTTCGGTTCAGCTGTAACCTTAGGTTGCATGTTCCGGGTGATGCGTATCTGAAATCAATAATACTCGTTATATAATGGTATAAGTTAAAGTTTAACGTAAAATGTAAAAGATTACCTCGCCATTAACAGGTCTGCAAGGCTTTCTCTCTCTTAAGTATGGTCGTTTTAAGCATATGGGATAAGAAATATTTTCGTTAGATTCTTTTAGATAATATAAACAAGTAGGAACGTCATTTTTTTGTTTCGAATAAGATTGGAATAAACTACGTAGATAGGAATACTTGGGTTTAGTTTCAAATCCCATTTCAGTGATGTACTTCATGTATTCAACGATGGCAGCTAGAGAAACATAGTTATTAGTAAATAATTACTTTTTACGTGAAAGACATAAAATTGTAATCAATTTACCAGGCGGCTTTGTTTCATACGCGAAACATTTCTCCATGAACAATGGTAAATCTGCGAGAAATCTTTCTTTCTGTGCGTGGATTTCTTCTGGATTCAGTGTCAGTGGCAGATTATCATCATTTTCCCAAGGTAATTTTCCACACAACCATTGCAACATATTGTATCCTAAGGTTTCTAAATCACCTCTTCTTGAATGTGCTGTAACATCAACTCGTGGTAAAATAGATGTACGACACAACGATACATGAAATATGTATGAAATTGATAGAACTCACTTCCATGATGTGCATCTCTGGATGTGAATTCTAATGTACCCTCGTGTGCTCTTCTCTCATCGTGAACAAACGGCTTATGTACACCTGCTGCCGTACGGAAGCGGTAAGCCAATCCATAATCAACTAAATACGCTTGAGATTTCTTTTTAACTACACTCCCCTCGTTTAAAGATAACAAAATATTTGATCCTTTAATGTCTGCGTGAGCGTATCCTTGACTATGAATGTATTCTAGTGCGTCTAACTATAAAACGTATAGTACCAAATCGTTAATATTGTGTGTGTTACATTTACATACAGATTACTATAATTATTTGAAAATAAACACCATTTGAACAGCTAGCCTGTTAACAAGTTTCATTGGCAATTTCCTCCCACTTGATACAAACAATTTTCCGATATCGATGCCATATCGTGGAATCACTAAGAATCTATATTTTTCACTGTTGTATACGAGAGAGCCTGATCCTTCGTACGTCGGGACTCCTATTCGTTTCTTCCCTTGCGATTTACACCAGCTTTCAACTAAATATGATAATCACGATGCAAGATATGAATGATATATAGAAATTATTTATCAGAATTAAACGTAAATTACTCACTCATATGTTTGCGAGCTGCTCTTATATAAAAATTCATTTCAACAAACAGCGGACCATTATTATGTGGTTCTATTTTTATCACGTACTTCGCATCTTCTCCAACTGGTACTCCGATGTTATTGGATGCTACAAAACAAAAAACCAATAATATTACTGAGATCTACCTTTTTTTAAAACTAATTTCTTAAAATGCTTGAATTATACCTAAGTATATATCACCAAATCCACCGTATCCTATTGTATGGCCAATCTTCCATTTGTTCTGCGTGATGTCTGTTAATATTAATCCGGGTGGTAATCGTTCAGGTAATTTACACCCTGATGCTGCTCTTCTAACAGGTACTTCTTCAACTCGTCTCGGTGCCATTATAACTATATATAACAATTT